AGTATAGGTAGGTTTTGGTAGAGCTTATATTATAAAATCGAGACCCCCAAATTTCACGATAATCTGATTTCATGATAATCCGTAACATAAATTATCATTATATTAGCTAATTTTAACAAAATCAAAATATGAGTTAAAAATTCTTACTAGAACTCTGTTAATTATTGAAGTAACTAGATTTGGGTCATTAATTATAATGATAGGTTGTAGATCCTAGGACATTAACCAAAATATCACTAATAATTCAATATTATTATGAAGTTATGAATATAAATGCACATTCAAATCTGTACATTAGGAATTATTTCGCTAGCTTCCTCACTGCTGTCTTCTGCCTGTTTTTTGAATTAAGTTTATTAATATTAAATCTAATATTGTTAAAACAACTTCATAAATCAATATTATCAGATTTGTAGATTTATTTTCTGAAAAATCAAGTTTTATCGATTTCTTATTACTATCAAATAGCTAAATCATTAACTGAATTAATGACTAATTATAGAAAACTCAACCTTCAAACATTATTTATCATTTAAAAAACCTGGGTGGTGCTTTGTTGAACTCCAGACACATTCTCAATTTCTTCGCTATCTGATGTGTTTTTACTACTCACAATTTCCTAGGTTTTATTTTATAAATAGCTGAAGTATTTATAAAAGCCAAAAATATTTATAAAAAACTAAAAATATTTTAAAATCACCTTTTTTATCAATTTTCTATAAGTTTCACCTTTATAATTACTACATCTGTTTCACCCAGATCCACAATTATTGAAAGATTTTTACAAAAAATTTTTGAAGACTTTTCTTTAAATGTTATAGAAGAAACATTTCTATCTGTAGTATTCTAGATCAATTTTCTAAAGTTTAACAATTTTATTTTTTTTATCACCATTTTAATTTTATTCAACATAATAGCTTAAGAAGTTTTTTTAAAAATGAGAATTAAGAGCACTATGAAAAGTTCTAGTGCGATTATTTATATTTTGTTACAATTTGACTATATGATTACATCTTATAGATTGAGTTTTTTTGATTAAACATTTAACAATGGTGATGTCACTTTATAATTTTGATAGTTTCTTAAATTACAATTTGACGATATGGTTATATCTTAATAGATTGAGATTCTTTGATTAAATGTTTAACAATAGTGATATCACTTTATAATTTTAACAGTTTTTTAATTAAAATTCTTAGTCATATATTATTATATAATAATGACAATAATTATTTTTTAAATGTTGATTACAATAATAATTTTCTTATACAAATTACTTGTATCAAAAGGTAAAAAATAATATTTATTGCAAAATATATGGGTGGTCAAAAGTAAAAACCACCCAATTTGAAATTTTAAAAAAATTTTTAACTATACTTTTAAAGCTTATATCTTGACAACCTCTTGATCAAATTTAATAAAATTTTTTTATTTGAATTCTAAAATTTGTAAAATTTGATTTAAAAAAATTATTAAATTTGATCAAATAGTTGTCAAGATATGAGCAATTAAGTGGTTTCTATTTTTGACCACCTATATTGTTATAATATTAACTTTTTAACTTTATGTCTTATTAAAACATAGTGATAGACACTGGCATGGTGTGAAGTATGACCTGATTCCAATACAACTAAATCATACTATATAAGACTAAATACTACTAAACTAATATTTGGAGACTTTAGGTTTTGCAGCTTATTTCTAGGATTACAAATATACCATACTGCACTGATTAAAAGATCACCATTTTATTATATCCCCCGTGTAAAATACCCGTGTAAAAATTACAGAAATTCTATTAATTGTGATCAGCTCTTTTTAAAATCTCAGGATGTATACCATGATTAAGAAATAAATATTCATTTGAAATTTTTCAGTTTGTGATAGAGACCCTCTGCCGTACAATATACCCAGGTATTTTATAGGTTTTTGGTTAGGTAATTTGTTTTAGACCCTGGGTCTTTTAATCAGTGCGGTACAGTAAGTATCTTTTACTTGAATGAATTTCTTTGTTTTCTTATTATATTGATTCAATACTGAAGTTTTTACTCTATTTCTCTTATTTCAGATCTCATAATCTTGTGGTCTCATAGATCTACAAAGTTATGATCAAATTTTAAATTACATATATACAGTCAACCCTTCATAAATGCATAACCTCTCTAAATGCATAAAAATTGTTCGGCCTATCGATGGGCCTAATAAATAAATGCATATTCCATATTCTGCAAATGCATATAATTTTTTTGGCCCATAGATATATTA